CTCAATGCACGTCGGTGTGGGCGTGACCCCAATCCCCTAGGTCCATTGGTCTATGAAATAGATGACGCCACGTGGGGGCGTGGCCGTGCTGAGTAGGCGAGTGGGTTAGGCGGGGTCACGTTGAAAGCTGCGCGCGCAGCCTCTGCTCCCCCCCCCATTTCGGGGGCGTGGCCTGACCTCGCTGTAGCAGTGAGGTGGTTTACTGCTTCTGTTGGTGACTCCTGGCTACCTGGCGGGTTGAGAACCCGCTCTTCGGCCTCCGGCCCTGGACCCTCCCGCGCTGCAGAGTCCTCCAGTCAGGGGGCCGCGGACCCCAGGGCTCAGGAGGTGGGCGAGGAACGAGCCACAGGGAAAAGTGCATCACTTCGCAGTCTCTCCCCTGAGCTCTCACATGTCTGCCACACACTTGCAAGTTTGGGAAATCAACTCCAAGGTCCCCTCTCACTACACCCCCTTTCTTCAGGGTCCCTGCTCTGATCCCAGGAGCGGAGCGGACCGCCCTCCTGCGCCCAGCGCCCCGGGTTCCTGCCGCGCCCCCACGGTTCCCCGGTTCCTCTCGGAGTCCCTTGCGCCATCTACCTTTCCTTTCCGCTTCCTCCCCAGGACTGAACCAGGACACAGCCGGAGTTGCCGCGGGGCCTTCCGATCCCCGGTGAGTATGCGCCCCCTGCCGTCCTCAGCCCTTGCTCAGGTCTGACCCTCGGCTGACCGGTCCTTCTGAGGACCCCAGGCCCTTTCTCCATCCCACCTCTCCTCTCCCTCCTGTCCTCCAGTCTTTGCCCAGGCCGCCTTTCCCTCCCCTTTCGCGCCCTCCTGCCTCCTCGGAGGCTTTTCCCCTTACAGCTCTCCGATTCTCCCTTCACCCCAGCCCTGCCTTCCATCAGGACGACTCGTGGCTCACGCTGTCCATTTCTCTAGCTACCAGTAGTGTCCTTGGCTTTTCCCTAGTAAGCCACCTCCAAAACTCAGCCTCCGCCCCGCCCCTCCTGGGCACATCCCCCATAGTGAGATTTCCACCACCACCCTTGTTCATTGATTATATGCCCTCCCAGGATCCACAAGTGAAAAGGATAAACAGGCAACAAAAGAGAGAGAGAGAAAGAAAGAATGAGAGAGAGAAAGAAATCAATCCATGACTGAGTGTAATTGGGAGATGGGCAGCCCAGACTTCGGGGTTCTAGAAGGGCCTCCCAGAGGCGGCCAAGCCAGAGGCAGGTAGAATGGGTGGGTGACAGTAAGCCTAGGTAATAAAGGTGGAAAGCCGAGGTTTGCCAAAAACAGAGAATTCCTTGAGCTTGTGAGAGTAGTTAAAGGTGCTTTCTCTCTGGAAACTCAGACACTGCCTTCTCTGACCTTCCTTTGCAAATTATGCCTTGCTCATTTCTGTTCGTACGTTCATTTACTTTTTGAAAGAAGGCAGTTTTTTGGTTTGGTACTGGGGATTGAACTCATGGCCTCATACTTGGCAGGCAGGCATTTATGCCACTGAGCTAAATTCCCAGCCCTGTTTTTTTGTTTCTTAAGAAATGCAGGTCTCTGTATATGCCCAGTCTGGTCTTGAACTCCTGGGCTCAAGAGCTCCAGCTGGGTATGATGGAGCAAACCTGTAATCCCAGCACTCAAGAGGCTGAGGCAGGAGGATAGTTGTAAGTTCAAGAACAGGGTGAGCTACAAAGAGAGTTTAAGGCCAGCTCAATCTGCATAGCAAGACCCTGTCTCAAAAAAAAAAAAAAAAATCTGATGATCCTTCCATTTCAGCCTTCTAAGTCCAGGGGGTACAGGTGTGTCAGGCTAAAATATTATTTCACTGAGCACTTACTTGATCCCAGATGGCTTGCTTAGTATATCATCCCTCAAGTCCTTCCAGCACCTTTGAGGCACAAGCTTGAATGTCTTTATTTCACAGCTGAGGCTGATGAGTACCAGAGATTAAGTCAGGAAGCAGCAGACTAGGGGCTTTGAACTGACGCAGCCTCACCCCGAAGCCTGAACTCCTCACCAGGACCCTCGGTTTCCTCCTCTTTGGACCTCTTCCACTGCCGTCATCCCGCCCTGCTGCCCTTGTTTGCTTTCCCCAGCCTGACTGGCCCTTCTGGTGCTCTGGCCTGTCCTGTGTAAATGGGCGTTTCAGTGTGGCTCTGCCTCCTGTCTCTGCTCTTCTCTCTCTACCACTCCCTCAGAGGCCTCCACCCATGCCTCTGGTCACCCCGGTGCCCACAACCTCTGTGGTCTCTCTCCAGCCTGGACTTTCTCTGGGCACTTAGAGCTGCCTGCAGAATAGCTTTGCCTTAACCACATGTGGGGGTCTGTAATCCTAGCACCTAGGAGGCTGAGGCAGAAAGATCTCAGTTTGAGGCCAACCTGAACTCCTTACATAGCAAGACCCTGCTAACCTTATATCTGCTGGTACCCAGGCTCTCACAGTGGGGTCTGCTTTGCCTCAGGGCCTTTGTGCTAAGCTACATTCTCAGGCCTTTTTTTTTTTTTAATTTCCAGACAAGGTGTTTTCTGAGTTCCTAAATTGTCCAGGCTGGGCTCAAATCTGTGGTCCTTCTGCTTCAATACAAGCTCCAAAGTGCTTGTATTACAAGTGTGTGCCATCACACCAGGCTGCTTGGCCCCCTCTTGAACCACAACTCAAGTGGTTGCTTTTATTTTTCACAATACCCATCCCCTCACCTACAGATGCCACCCACATGGAAAATGCCACCTGTCATTCCCTCCAAGCCATGTCCCTCTTCTGCGTGATGGCCTCGAACAGACCATCCCATCTGTCAGTCTCTTCCCTCTGCCCTGTTGTCTACCAGCTTTTTACCAAAGTACTGGCCTAGACACCATGCTATCAGGGGAAGTAAACCCCAGGTCCCTGCCTCACGGAGTTTACCTCTGTAACAGGGGTGTGGAAGACTGGGCAGGTAGTGAGAAACGAGATAAAACTCCGGGACAGAGGGAAACCATGATGGAGGCATGATTATTAAAGGCAGGGCGGTCAGAGCAGGTGGAGGCGGGAGCAGGAAGAGCCATTTGCTGGGGCCTTGGCTGTGGGTTCCCTGGCCTCAAGGCAGGGCTAGATATTGTGTCTTGCTGCTGCCCTGGGGCCTTTTCCAGTTGTGTCAGACACTGCCCTCTTCCTGTTGCTGGGTGACATCTGTTCTTATCACAAGGAGATGTCTGTCCACCTGATACTTCGTGAAGAGTAGCTATAGAGCAGGGCTAGTGCGGCCCCAGGTTTTCCAGGTAGAGAAGGCAAAGTTGAACCACAGCCCCAAAGAAGGAAGACCTGGCACCCATTCTGTGGAGTCAGCTTGCAGGACTGGGTGGAGCTGGGAGTGAAAGAAGATCTGAAATGGGGCTGGGGTAGTGCAGTGGTAGAGGACTTGCCTAGCATATTGCGAGTCTCTGGGTTTCAGTCCTAGCACCAGGAAAAGGAAAGAGAAATCCATCGAGAGTGGTGGCATGCACCTTGGCTGCTTAGGAAGCTGAGACAGGAGAATTACAGATTTGAGGCTTATTTGGGCAATTTAATGTGATGCTGTGTCCAAATACAAAGGGCTCAGTGGTTGAGTGCCGTGGGTTCATCCCCAGTACTGAAAGTAAATAAACAGTAACATAAACTGTCATAGAGGACCCGCCTTCCCTCTTATTGTGTGTACGTAACATATGGCAGTGTTTTCCTTTGCTCTGTTGGGATTGAAGCCAGGACCCTATGCCACGTGAGCCCCCTAGCACTGAGCTATACATAGTTCCAGTCCCTTTAAAATACTTTGAGAACCGGGGGTTTAGCTCAGCGGCACAAGCGCCTGCTTGGCAAGTGCGAGGTCCTGAGTTCGACCCCTAGTACCAAACAAATAAAATACCTTATGGAAAAAAATAAGGGGCTGGGGATTTAGCTCAGCGGCATAAGCACCTGCCTTGCAAGCAAGCGGTCATGAGTTCAATCCCTGGTACCAATAAAAAAAAAAAAAAAGATAAAATACTTTTTGGAGACAAAGTCTCGTCACATTGCCCAGACTGGCCTCAAATTTGCAATCCTCCAGCCTCAGCCTCCCAAGTAGTTGAGTATCTATAATTACAGACATGTGCCACCAATGCCAGCTCATGTGGCTTCTGCCTCCTCACCCAAGATGGCTGTGTAGCCCCAGCATCCCCATTCCAGGCAGGAGGGAATATTCTGAGGCCTTGGGGGTCAGAGAGTGTCACAAGCAGAAGTAAGAAGTGACTGTCTGGGGACTTCACCTAAGCTCTGATTGTGGATACCTAGTCAGGAGATGGCTTTTTCTGCCCCTCAGCGACCATCTCCCAAGTCTGGCCAAGCTGATGGGACCAACAAGGAGGCCTTGCACCTTGACGTTGAGAAGCTGAAGGAGAAGAGGGACATGCTGGACAAGGAGATATCCCAGCTACTGGCTGAGTAAGTCTTACTAGGCTCCTGGGCCAGGTTTAGATAACTTTGGGCTGGGGGCTGTAGCTCAGCAGTAGAGCACTTGCCTACCATTCACAAGGCTCTGGGTTCTGTCCTCAGCACTGCAGGAAATAAAAACAAAAATATTGGGCCAGGGATTTAGCTCTGGCACAAGCTCCTGCCTGGCAAGCGTGAGTTCAATTCCTGGTACCAAAAAAAAATTTTTCTTAAGTGCCTAGTAACTAAAACCTAGTCACACTAACCTAGGCATTAAAAGAAAAAAAGACTGGACATGGTGACACGCACCTATAATCCCAGGGTTCATGGAGGCTGAGGCAGGAGGATTGCTCAGAGTTCAAAGTCATTTTGGACTGCACAGTGAGACCCTGTCTCAAAGAAACAGAAAAGACAGGACTGTGCTGTTGGCTCCAGGGGTCTGGGCAGCCTCTCTGGGAGGTCAGGGGTCCATCACCTGGGTAGAGCCTGGAACTAAACATCAGAGAACTGACAGGCTGGAGGCCATCACTGTCACCATCACCATCCAGTGTTCTAGAGCTCTGTCCCAGCCTCTCAAACTCGCTTCCTCTGCATGTCACACTTAGGGGATACTGTGTCGACCTGGAAGTCCCTTGCCTGGGGACCCGCCCTTAAGGGACAAGGCATGTTTGCCAGGAGGGCAGGATCTGTCTGGCTGTCTCTGTGTCCCCAGCACTCAGGCCTGCAGTGGTCACTTGCTAGACAGAGGCCTCGCCGCTGTCCCAGCCTGGTCTCCGCACCGACTTCCTGCCGATGCTGTCTCCCTTTGTTCCCCCCAGAGGCTACCATGTGGATGAACTGGAGGCGCACATCTCAAAGCTGCACGAGTACAACGACATCAAGGATGTGGGGCAGATGCTGCTGGGCAAGCTGGGTGAGCAGAGGCCCAGGTGCCCCTGGGATAATGGCACAGCCGCCTCGAGCGGGCTCAGGGTTTGCTTTTGGGCGTCCTGATTCTCTGACTGCTCCCCGCATCTCTCCAGCCTCCCCCCACCCCAGATTATTTTATCTTTTATATATGTGTGTGTGTGTGTCTGTGCGTGTGTGTGCACATGTGCTCGCGTGTATGGGTTTGGTTTCATTTGCTTTGTTTTAAATCGTGGCTGTGTCTTTTTTTTTAATTAAGTTTTTTGGTATATGTTAGGTATACACAATGATCACACTCATAAGCAGTTTGTACCCATATGTGACATACTTTGATTCTTTTTTCTTTCCCATTCCCTTACCTTCCCTTCAACTCCTCTGACCGGCGCAGCCCCAATGAAACAGGAGATGCTCTTGTGGGCCACAGTTAACTGCTGGTTTATTTACGCGGGCTCTGGTTTATATATTTGGCCGTGACCAATCACAGGCTGCCACAAGGAAGCAGGGCGGGAATGGGATGCAGGCTCTGGCTACTATATCCAGCTGTGGCCAATCAGGAGTTGCCACAGAGTATGGAGTGAGCACAAAGTGTGCACGGGTTGGCTAATTTAAAGAGGGACGTAGCGCATTGCGGAAGCTGGCGTGGTCCTTAGTCCCGGGTGGGGTATGGTATGTTGAGCGCCTGCGCCCAACACTCCTCCTCCCCTCCTTGTTTACAAAAGCTTTGTTTCTACTTTTCCTTATTTTTCTCCTTTTCCCTTCTTTCCTCACCCCTCCTGCCCCATTCCCTTCCCCATTTGAACTTTTCTTCCTCTTTCATATATATCGCTGTGGTGTGATGCTTTTCATTCTTTCGGGAAGATGCCAAGAAGGGTAAGAGCTGGGTCGAATAGGACCTCCAGTCCTAGGTTTCTGAAAAATCACTACACTGATTTTCACAGTGGTTGCACTGGTGAAAAAAGGTTCCTTTGCCCCACAGCCCCACCAGCGTTTGCTACTGGTTGATTTCTTGATGATGGCTGTTCTTTCTGGAGGGAGATGGAATTGCAGCTTTGTTTTAATTTGCATCTCTCAAATGACCAGGGATGTTGAACATTTTCTCATACATCCTTTGCTGTTTGTACTTCATCTGAGAAGTATCTGGTCATTTCAGATGCCTGTTTTTGGATTCAATCTTTAAATCTGGGGAGATTTGATTTTTCTGAGTTTTTATATATTCTAGGTATTTGTCCTTTACCTGGGGAACAGCTGGCAAACGTTTTCTCCCACATGGTGGGTTGTCTCCTCATTCTGTTGGTGGTTTCTCTTGCTGTCTGGAAGCAATAGTGAAATGAGACCCCAGTTGTGGATTCTTTATGGTGGTTCCCATGCAGCTCCCCCAGTGTTTTGAGGCAGGGTCTCACCATGCAGCTCCAGCCAGCGGGGAGCTTACAGCGAGTAGATACTGGAAGGTCTGTTCTTGTGAGGCTTAGGCTTCAGTGCTGGGTGGGCACCATGGTGGCTTAGGCAATGAACACAGATAATTAATTAGAAAATGCTTCAGGCCCTGAAGGAGAAGGGGAGACGGGGGCAGAACACAGACTGTGAATGTAGTGGTGGTGGAAACAGGTGCCCCACAGCCACCGCCTGAGCAGCCTTCCCTGAGAAAAGAATAGGTCTGTGAAACTCTGCTTGCTGTCACACACTTGTCATTCCAGCCCTCGGGGAGGCTGAGGCAAGAGAATCCCAAGATCAAGCCCACTCTGGACAAGTTACCTCAAAGTAAAAAGGTGGGGTCGGGGATGTAGCTCAGCCGCATAAGCACCGACCTGGCAAGCGCAAGGTCATGAGTTCAATCCCCAGTACCAAAATATAAAAAATAAAGGGTTGGAGATGTAGCTCAGTGTGACTGCCCCATGTTCAACACCCAGTACCAAAAAATTACAAAACCAGCATCTGAGGAGGAAGAACAAGAAGAACCAATACCCCAGGGTTTTGTAGACAGATGAGGGCTGGCACTTGGGCTATGCTGGGCAGCAAGCATGGGGCCGGTGATCGCATCGGAATCGAGGGACACCAGCTGCTCTCTGTGGCCTGGGATTTGCTCACCCTGCACGGCGGGCTGAGAGTTTGAGGAGTCGGGTGCTCTCCAGGGCTCATACTGCCTGGGACCAGGGCTGAGGGGTGGCTGGCTGGGGGGGGGGGGGCAATCGCAGCCTAAGGGGAAGAAGGAGTTCCCCTTTCCCTTACCCAGGGGAGGTGGCAGTGTGACCCCAGCCGAGAGCCAGACAGTGGTCCTAGGGTCAGGGCAGTGACGCCAGCCCAGGGTTTCGGCCACTCCTGCGGTTACTTCTCGCTGGACATCCATGGTCCCTTCCTTCCGTTCAGCTGTGATCCGAGGTGTCACCACCAAAGAGCTGTACCCAGAATTCGATCTGGACATGGATGACTGAGCTGAGTCTCGAGGCCCACGAGGACAGGCCATGTGGATGTGAGAAGCTGTGAGAGCTGCCCAACACCCTGTGGAGTTTGCCATGAGGAAGTGCAGGCAGCCCTCTTCTGAAGTGCCTGGACTCAGGAGGGCGCCCAGAGGAGAGGGCGGAGAAGAGGAGGGTCACTGAGTTCAAGGTTACTGAAGTGCACCACTCCAGCGGCATGTGGCCCTCTGTGTCCTGTCTGTTAATAAACATTGGCATCATCTCAGTACAGATGCACTGTTTCCTGTCCCTTGATAGCCCCTGCTCGCACCTCGGAGGGAGCCAGCTCTAGCCTCCTACAGGACTGAGCACTGTTAAGTACCTCTTGGCCATTATATCTGCGCTTGATGAGCAGCCTGATTTAGGCTCAAACTTGTAATCCTCCTGCCTCAGCCTCCCAGAGTGCTGGGACTCCAGCATGTACCACCATGCCTGGCCCTCTAGTGCTTAAAAACGTGTCACAGACAAGGAAACAGAGGCTCTGAGAGGCACACAGGCAAGAAGTGGCAAAGCAGGTATGAGCCCGAGGTGTGTTTCCTGGGTTGGGAAGGAGTGAAGACTGAACACTGCTGGATCCTGATTTGGTCTCACCACGTAGTTCAGGCTGGCCTGGACTTGCTATGTAGTGCAGGCTGGCCTTGAACTCTAGGCAGTGCCCGCACCTCAGCCTCCTGAATGCTAGGATGACAGCCATGGGCCACCACCCCCAGCTAGATTTTGGATTGTATCAATCAATTTTTGGAAAACTCGTAATTCACTTCTAAATTTTAGCCATCTTGATTACATAGAAAATTGTTTTCCCAAGATTAATCTTCCATAAATCTTTTGTAGCTTGTTCAGACCCGTTACAACTTGCCCAAACCTTCTATGACCATTATATCTTTATTGTGTCCTGTGTAACCTCCATATTGTAGAATCCAGTTTACAAGAGAAACCTTATGTTATTTACATATATTTTTTGAGACTAGGAATTAAACTCAGGGCCTCTCACGTGCTGGCAAGTAGTGCTCTGCTGCTGAATTCCACCTCACTCCTTTGTTTCTTTCGTTTTTTCGTTTTTCTTTTTTTCTTGTTTATTTGTTTTGGTACCGGGGATCAAACTCACAACCTTGCACTTGCCAGGCAGGCACTGTGTCCTTGAGCTAAACCTCTGACCCTATTTTTCGTTTTGTGAGATGGGGTCTCACTGTGTGATTCAGGCTGGTCTGTGACTCACCATGTAGCCCAGGCTGGCCTTGAACTCCTGTCAGTCCTCCCTCAGCACCTGAGTGCTGAATTGCCACCATGCCTGGGACCAGAAGTTTAATTTTTCAAACAAAATTCTTATATAGAGGACAAGGATATAGCTCAGTGGTACAGCTGCTGCCTGGTAGGCACAAGGCCCTGAGTTTGGTTCCTGGTACCAAAAAAAATCTTATATAAAAATATTTCTGCTGGGCATGGTGGCGCATACCTATAATCCCAGCACTTGGGAGGCTGAGGCTGGAGGGTCACCATGAGTTTGAGGCCAACCAGGGATACATAGTGAATTCAAAGTCAGCCTGAACCACATAGTGAGATCTTAGTCTCAAAAAACGCACAATGGCTGGGGATTTGGCCAGCCTCAGTGGTATAAGCACCTGCTTGGCAAGCGCGAGGTCATGAGTTTGATCTCCAGTACCCAAAAAAAAAAAAAAAAAAAAAAGGCAAAACAAAAAATAGAACTTTAGAAACGAACTTTTTTTGCCAGGCATGAAAGCACACACCTGTAATCTCAGCACTTGGGAAGCTGAGGCAGGAGGATCACCATGAGTTCAAGGCCAGCCTAGGCTACCTAAGTGCATTCAAGGCCAGCAAGACCCTGTCTCAAAAATAAAAAATAATTTTTTTCCTAGCTATGTGTGGTGGCATATACTTGTAATCCTAGCACTCCAGAGGCTGAGGCAGGAGGATTATCATGAGTCTGAGACCAGCCTGAACTGCTTAGTGAAACCCTGTCTTAAAAAGACAAAAAAATCCCTATGTAGTTAACCACTTTTCTTGCTACACTCAAGTAAATCAAGTCAAATCTGATAAAACTAAACTTACTTTGCAAACAAGTTGATCTTTGTTACCCCTGGTAAGACTCAGAATGATGCTGTGTTTCTAAGGAAAAACTGTATTACACCTGAGACTGGCTCTGTTCACTGTTTTTAAATTCTTGTAATTTGCGGGCATGGTGGTTCACGCCTGTAATCCCAGCACTTGGGAGGCTGAGGCAGGAGGATCATTGCAAGTTCAAGACCAGCCTCACCTACAAAGTGAGCTCAAGGCCAGCCTGAACTGCATAGAGAGACCCTGTCTCAGACAAAAAAAAAAAAAAAAAATTCTTGTAATCTGTATGTAGAGTGAGCTAAATTCCAAATGCTTGCTGGGCATGGTGGTGTATGCCTGTGATCCCACCGTTTGGGAGGCTGAGGCAGGAGGATCACCAAGAGTTTGAAGACAGGCTGGGCCACATAGTGAGTTCAAAGCCAACCTGAGTGATATATTGAGAACCTGTCTCAAAAAAAAAGAGCCAGCCAGGCTCTAAGGTGGCTCCAGGGCAGTCGCTGGAGTGGTATAAGCAGGTGCTTATACCACTTCTCCTGCGGGAAGATCAGGCCTTTGCACTCACCACCAGCCAGTGCAGTCCTTCACATCCACTGCTTCCCTCTACTGCAAATCTCTCCACAGAGGCCTCTGGGGTTGCAGCCATCACCATCACTGTGACCACCGTGCATCTGCAGTGCTAGGGATTGAACCCAAAATCTTAAAACATGCCAAGCACAGCCTGGGCCATAAAGAGAACTGAGACATGAGCCCACCCTTCCAGTGAGCCAACCAGCAGTAGGCTGGGAGACAAGAAGAAACACACACACCCCACACCCCCAGGTGGGCAATCAGCTGACTCAGAGGAACACAGAAACTGTGCAGTGTAGCAGCTATGGGGGATTTCCTTCTTTCTTGGCTTTGAAATTCAGTATTTTTCTCACTGTTCCATTGTATTGTTTTTATTCCCTTCACAATAAAAATAAAAAACTTTTAAAAAGTTAAAATAGATATGATTAGTTATCTCACTGTTTTTACAAAAGTCAGTCTTGAACTTCTGTGCTCAGGTGATCTTCCTGCCTCAGCCTCCCCAAGTAGACGGCATTCAGAGGTGTGTGCCACCATGCCTGGCTCCTCACTATTCCTCAGACAGCTTCTGGGGTTTTGTGGTAATGGTGTTTTTGGTTTTGGTTTTTTACCACCTTAGAGATCAGTCCCAGGCTTCTGCATGCTACCATTGAGTTACATCTCCAGACTTTCTGGGTCATTTGTTTGATTGATAGGTTGACTTTCTGAGACAGGGTCCCACTGGTCTCAGTATCCTCCTGCCTCAGCCTCTTGAGCACTGGGATCGCAGACATGCGCCACCACACCCAGCCTGTGACTGTCCCTCAAAAGTTGGCCCTTGGGAAGGCTTGCAGGAAAATGGCAGAGTGGTGAGCAGGGAGAAAGAACCTCTCCAACTTCCGGTGTCCAGACCCTGCAGTACAGCAGCATGAGGAAGAGAAGAGGGGAGATGTGGACACCGGAAGGATCTGAACTGAGGCTCAAAGCCCATAGAGAGGCAGATAGTTCAGGAATCCAGCAAATACAAGGCCAAGAGCGGTGGCCCTGCCAGATGGGGAGGGAAGGTGGGGATGCAATCTGGCCCCCAACCCCTGCACCAGCAGAAGCATCAAGGAAGCCATGCAGGCAGTCGTGAGTTCGTTCCCTGGTACGGATAAAAAAAGAAAAAAAAAAAAAACAAGGAAGCCCTGCAGCCTGTGTGCCCTTAGGGCCCCTGTCAGCTGGGGAGAACCAGCATGGAAGCCACCTGTGCCTCCCGGCCCCACACACACACCTCTGAGCAACTGGACCCAACACTGCCTGAGATGATTTTTGTTTTGTTGTTTGTCTATTTGAGACAGGGTCTCGCTATACAGTTCAGGCTGGCCTTGAGCTGACTTTGCACCCCAGACAGGTTTCAAACTGACAAGGATCCTCCTGCCTCAGTCTCCCAAGTGCTGGGATTACAGGTGTGAGCCACCACACCCGGCTCACAGCCTGAGATGATGATATCTGAAGTAGTGAGGCAACCTGACATTTGTGTAGTTTGATTGAGTTTGCAGGCCTGGGGCCAGTGGTCTGAATATTTAGAGGGTAACAATATGTAATATAGTAGTGATTGTGGATTTCCTACTGGCCTATCCCTGTTTTGTTTCATTTTACTGTTCTGTTTTACTCTTTCAATTAAAAAAAAAAATTACTAAAATAGAAGTTGGCACTTGGCGGCGCCAGCCTCGGTGGCCGAGCAGGGCGGAGGCCAGGAGGTGGGAAGGGCTGCTCTCTGGCATAAACTCCAATTGAAGAGGGATCGGTCCCCAGACTCTGGTTAGAAATGAGACTGCAGGTAAGTGAGGCCGCCAGTACTGCCTCCAGCACTTCGGAAGGAGGGGAATGGATTCATCTGGAGTGAAAAAGAAGAGCTCCCTAGAAGTCAAAGAAATAATCAAAGGTCCGGCCCTAGACCTCTTCCTGCCAAAAGTAGGGCCCTCCCTGATGAGAATCCCAGGACCACTCTAAAATCAGAAGGCCCCGGGAGGGCGTGAGATGGGCGTAGCAGGGCGCAGACCCGGGAGGGGCGTGGCCCTCACCGGGAAGCAGCAGCTCCCGCTCCTGGGTCCAGCGCCACCTTCAGGTCAGCTCCAGCGCGGGCAGTGGAGCTGCCCCCTTCAGCATCCAGCGGCTCCTGTGACCCCCAGCCCTAGGAAGGGTGAGGCCCTTGCCCCAAGCCTAGCAAAGCGCACGCTGGGAGGCAAAGCCCTGTAACTTAATTCCGCTCCCTCAATCCAGTCCACTTTTCCAGCCTGAGGAGCAGGAGGAAAGGGTCCTTCACCCAGGATGCAAGGTTCTGGGTACAGAATGCTACTGGCTCAGGGGCCACTCAGAGAGGCGCCCTGCAAGCTCACCCATTCCCATCTCCTGAGAGTCAGTTCAGGGCAGAGCCTGAGCCACGAGCGAGCCTCCAAGGAAGGAGACCAAGCACACACACACACAGAGGTTCAGGCCTGGCATGGTTACACAGGCTTTAATCCCAGCACTCGAAAGCCTGAGGCAGGAAAAATGGCATGAGGTTGAGGCCAGCCTGGGCTACACGGTGAATTCAAGGACAGCCTGCACCACAGAGCAAGACACTGACTCCA